GAACCTCCCTGGGAGCATAGTTTATGAGACAGAAATGCTAGTATGCTCATCCTCCATTTTTAAAAAGATCATTTTATTGGGGACTCTTACGACTCTGAACAGAATCCATATATCAGTTTTATCAAGCACATTTTGTACATATGTTGCCGTCATCATTTTCAAAACACTTTCTTTCTACTTGAGCCCTTGGTATCAGTTCTTTTTCCCCTCCCCCACCCTCCCTCCCTCATAAACCCTTGATAATTTATCATTTTTTTCATATCTTACACTGACTGCTGTCTCCCTTCACCCACTTTTTCTGTTGTCCATCCCCCTGGGAGGGGGTTATATGTCAATCATTGTCATGGTTCCCCTTTTCTTCCCCCACCTTCCCCTTACCCTCCTGGTATCTCTACTCTCATTACTGGTCCTGAGGGGTTGATCTGTCCTGGATTCCCTGTGTTTCCAGCTCTTATCTGTCCCAGTATTCATACTCTGGTCTAGCCGGATTTGTAAGGCAGAATTGGGGGTCACGATAGTGGGTGGGGGGCGGATCATTAAAGAACTAGAAGAAAGTTGTATGTTTCATCAGTGCTATATTGCTCCCTGACTGGCTCATCTCTTCCTTGTAAGGAATGTCCAATTGTCTACAGATGGGCTTTGGGTCTCCACTGCACACACACCCTCATTCACATTGATATGATTTTTTGTTCTGGGTCTTAGATGCCTGATACATGATCCCATCAACACCTCATGATCACATAGGCTGGTGCTTCTTCCATATGGAATTTGTTGCTTCTCAGCTAGATGGCTGCTTATTTATCTTCAAGCCTTTAAGACCCCCAGATGCTATATCTCTTGATAGCAGGGCACCATCAGGTTTCTTCACCACATTTACTTATGCACCCATTTTGTCTTCAGCAATCCTGTCAGGTAAGGTGAGCATCACAGAATTCCATGTTATTAGAACAAAGTGTTCTTGCAGTAAGGGAGTACTTGAGTACAGGCCCAATGTCCATCTGCTACCTTAATACTTAACATATAAATATATGTAAATAGATTTATTTCCTTATCATTATATATAAATCTGTTTACATATATGCATGCCTGTATTTAGACCTCCATAAATGTCCTTTGCGTCCTAGCTCTTTCCTCTATTTCCTTTTACTTTCCTCTTGTCCCACTATCATATTCAGCCTTCATTCAGGTTTTGGTTAGTCTTTCAGCTACACTGCCTTTGGCCAAGCCCCACAAGACATCCTCCATTCTTTTTTTTTTT